GCCGAATCCCTGCAGGCCTGGGCCAGCAGCTCCATCTGGCCAGGGCCCATCATCCCCTCAGCACTGGTGTGGTGAGTGCCCTGGTGCCAAGCCCACATGGAGCTGTTCCCCGAGCGGATTCCTTCCTCTGGCTCCTTTTATTTCTTCTTTTCTTCTCCTTTTCAACACTCATTAGGAGATTTGTCAGTGTTGCGTGTGGCGTCCTGGTGGCAGTTTGTGTTGGCCTCCTTGGGGTCCCTGTGCCCCGAGGGGACAAGGACTGTGTGGGGTCAGGGCCAGGCAGCACAGCCTGCCAGGGGGGACAGCCCAGACTGTCAAGAAAACCCCAAAAGGAATGGAAATGGCCTTGGGGGAAAATCCTGGAGAGAACAGGGTGGCTGGTGCTGCTGCTGTCCGTCCCTGCGGAACCTCAGCGCTCCTGACCGCGGTTATTGTGCTGTGGAATTGCTTTTGGAGGGTGTTCAGGCAGCAAAGTGGGGCAGGAGCCCCTCTCCAGGCTGGTTTAGCTCTTCTGTGGGGTGTGATTTGTAGCTCACAGAGGCAGGGGAGCTGGGAGATGGGTGGGCAGCAGCGGGGCTGGCGCTGTGGCAATGCAGGACAGGAGGGTCTGGGAATGTGGGCAGCACCTCAGAGAGCTGTGAGGGACAGCAGAACAAGGATTTCACTAAAATACAAAGAGACTTAAGCCTGCATTTCAGTGAGGAAGGAGAAGAGGTGGGTTTGAAGGGTTTGGAGGAACAGAACGGAACAACTCCTGGCTGGGGGAACAGGTCAGACCATGGAGCTGCTCTGTCCATGCTGGGGCCCATCCCATGGGCACAGAATGAATGAATGTGTCCCAGGCATTAGGAGGGAGGAAGATCTGTTCCAGAGACCCAGCCCAGAGCAGGCTGGGGAGCAGAGGGTGTTTAGGAGCCGTGGGGAGCTCTGTGCTCCTTGCTGCAGACAGTGTTAATCACTGGGGCTTAGCAGCGTGTCAGGGCTGGGGAGGAGGAAATGGTTCCGTGTCTAGATGGGCTTAACACAATGTAAACTCTGTGGTGCACACAGAAAGTTACACCTGAGTGTGAAGGAGCTGTTCCCCAGCACTGCAGCCTGGGATGAGGGTTTCCCCATGGTGTTGGTGGATCTAAAGCTGTTGCAGTGTCCATGTGCCTTTTCCTGCAGTGACAACTGACATCCTCAGGGATGCCCTTGCCAAGCTTTTTCTTACACAGGTTGTTTCGCTAGAAAAAAAAAAAAATTATTTTGTATTGGGAAAAACTTGTCCAAATTCTGAAGAAAACTGGTAAAATTGTTTTAGTTACAATTCATTGCTCTCTGTCTCATTTTGGAATCACATTTTTGGCCAGGGTACATCTGGCCAGCGCTGCTGTGATAGTGCCCCAAGCCTTCCTCTTGGTTCTCATTTAGGTTAGAAAGTAATTAAAGGAGGGTAAAAAAAGAAGTGACAGAGTTACTGACTCTCTTTCCAAAAGTGAAGGGTTTAGGCCAAACTCCTGCTAAGAAAATAAACAGAATTTCATTTTTCTGTTGCAAGTTCTTCCCACATATTGAATTTCCATGCTCAGTGACAAGGGGGATCTGCTCGAGTGAGCAGCAATTGGATTCTGATGGCTTTGAGTTGTGCTTGGATTTGCTGTGGAAAGCTGGGGCTGTCCTTGGAGAGCAGGGCTTGGATCTGAGCTTGAGGCCTTGTTCTCCAAGGAGCACAAACCTTGGAGCCTGAGTTACCAAGCTGTAACTCCTGTGGCTGAGCCTGGAAATTATTTTCCTGCCCAGTGTCCTGTCAGTCTGTGATAGAGCCCATCCTCCCCAAATTAGGCCAACATTTGCTAGTCTGAGCCTAGAAACCATTTTTAATTGAGGCACATTGCAGGGGTTGGCTCTTGTGGCACATGTGGGTGTGAATGTCCTTCCCACCTTCCCTCCTGCAGGAAGAGGAAACCCATGTTGGGATAATTTCTGCAGAAAGCAGTAAATTGGGGGTAATGGGGAGTGTTTGAGCTTGTCCCAAGGGTACCCACCCCCAGGACCCTCTGATGTGGGGCTGTGCTGAGCAGGGATGAGCCCTGGCAGTGGGTGGGAGATGGTTTGGGGGTCACCACGACCATCAGGCCCCTCTGGGCAGCTGGGGGTGACAGCAGATGGTCCCAAGGAAGTGCTGTGGGAGCCAGGGGCTGGAGGTGCCCTGTGCCTCGGTGATAAATTGATAAATGTGTCATGGCTCAGGAAGCAGGGCAGGGAAGGATGTGAGGGACAGAGGATTCATATCCTGGAAACGCCGCCGTGTCACGGCCGGGGAATTCTGCGGGATAAATGCATTTGCCTGTCCTGCTGCAGACAATCTGCTTAATGTGGGAAGCAGAGTTTCCTGCAGCACCGAGCCAGTGGGAAGGGAAAACCCTGAGAGGCAGGAAGGGCCAGGGAGAATTAAGCAGGTAAACCCATTAGCAGTGACCACCTCTTTGTGTGGGGATTACACAAAGCTGCTGCTTGGGGATGCTCAGCGCCTGGGGGGGAGCCAGGGCTGCTGGGGAGGCCTCTCCCCTCTCCTGAGGGCTCGACCCGGAGCTGGGATTAGCACTTGCCACAGGCCGCCCGCACTGGCCAGAACAAATTGCTGCATGTGCTGAGGAGAGCCCAACCTGCAGAACCCTGGTGGTGCTGTGAGCAGAGGTTTGGCAGGCTCTGCTCAGCAAATCCCTCCATTCTTCCCAACGGGACCTTCCTCATGGAAATCAGCCTTTAAGGAACAGATTTACATTGTTCTGCTGCTCTGGGCAGAGGTTTACCCCAGCTCCCTGCTCAGCTTGGGAATTACTCAGATACTGGCTCTAGAAGCAGAGTCAGGGCACAAAGAGGAATAGATGTGCTGCCCCAAGAGCTTCTCTCAGTCAGGACACCCCAAAATGTCTTGGCAGAAGCTCGGGCCAGTGGGGAGGGAGCTCTGGGGTGCAGTGGACGATGCTGGAGATGGGTGTGTGGAGGGGGGACACCCCAGTGCCAGTGAGAGCTGCAGGGATGGCATCACCAGGGGCCAGGCTGGGGCTGGGGGGCTCCCTGGGCCCTTGCTGGAGCCTCTGAGGGGACGATGCTGCCTCACCTCGTGGTGGCCAGCACCGTGTCCAGAGCGCCCATCCTGCGTGTGTCCTCCGGCAGCCTTCCCAACATGCCAACCACAGGAAAGCAGCAGAAACCCAAGCTTTCCTTTTGCTTGGATTCCCACCACTTCCCAGACTTTAATGACAGACCATTCTCTCCTCGGGCTGATTTGGCTCTCCCGGCCAGAGCCGAGCTCTGGCTCATGGGCAAAGCAGCCACGGCGTGAGAGGAAGAGGAGGGAGAGGCCAAGCTGTGGGATGAGCGCTTTTGCGGGACCCTGTCCCCACGGGGGTCCCGCAGTCCCGGGCCCACGCGGGGTAATAAATGGGACGGACGCAGCAGCGGCAGCTCCGCGGCTCCTCTCGCTCCGTTCGCGCTCCAGATGCTGAGCCAGATGTTGGCGCTGCGTGTCCGCCCGCTGGCAGCGGCGGGGCCGGGGATGCCGCTCCCGTTCCCGCTGCCCGAGCCCCGCCGGGGATGCCCGAGCCCCGCCGGGGATGCCGCTCCCGTTCCCGCTGCCCGAGCCCCGCTGGGGATGCCCGAGCCCCGCCGGGGATGCCCGAGCCCCGCCGGGGATGCCCGAGCCCCGCCGGGGATGCCGCTCCCGTTCCCGCTGCCCGAGCCCCGCTGGGGATGCCCGAGCCCCGCCGGGGATGCCCGAGCCCCGCCGGGGATGCCGCTCCCGCTGCCGCCGCCGCTGCCCGAGCTCCGGCGCCTCGGCACCGCCACCTCCCGGTTATCCCGGCGGCTCCCGCGGCAGCCCGCGGCGATGTTTGTTTATTTTCTTTATCCCTCCCGGGCATCCCGGAGGGGACGCGCGTTCCCAAGTGCTCAGCCTGCGGGGATGAGTTTGTTTATTTTCCTTTTTGTGCGATGCAGCCCGGCCCTGCCCAGCAGCCCTCTCACAGCACGCTCACCGGGAGAGATATTCACCTGTAATGATTTTATTAAATCTTATAACTTTCCTTTTTTGCCTCTCACGCTAAGGACAAACACCCCGAGGTGAGCGCGGTTTCTCTGGGCAATGCTGGCTTGTCCGTCTGTCTGAAGCAATTACTGCGGCTTCCCCGGAGATTATTTTCCAGAGCAGGTGTTGACATTTTTCCCCAGCTGGGTGTCAAGCCGTACCTGCGGGGGCGGTTTCGGAGCAGCAGCAGCCTAACGAGAGAGTGCCCTGGCTTAATGAGGTGTTGCAAGACAGCCCAGCTAAACCCAGCATTACACGGTCCAACTTTCCAGTTTAATTAGAAACCTGGATCTCCTGCTCATGCATTAATTCACTTTTTTGACTTGAGTGACAGCTCAGCCTCTCGCAGGGAAGGTGACTGCTGTGTTTGAGCAGTGTGGGTGTTGTTGGCTGTCCTCATCCCCCTGTCTAGCCCAGCTTTGTGTTTGCCATGGGAATGCCACGCTGTGCCCACCAGAGCAGCTGGGCCAGGCAGGGTCTGGGCGCCTCTCTCGGCCAGGAGGAGCAGCTGGGACCTGCAGGATTAGCAGAATCCACCTTTCCCCTCTGTTCCCCTCTATTTCCTCTCTATTTCCTTGTGGATCCCGCAGGTGGGAGGGTGCCAGGGCCTGGCACATGCTCCTTCCCAGCTGTGGCTCCACCATCCCGTGCCAGCTCCTGTTTGCCTGGCAGCCCTGGGAGTACAGAGATGCTATCAGTGCTGGGGAGAAGGTTTGTGCAGCAAGTGCAGAAGTTCAGGAGTGCAGTAATTAGCAGAGCAACTGTAAAGCTCGGCAATTAGTGGCTAATTGCTGCTGCAGAAATATGCAAGGCGGCTTTTTATTCCTTCCTCCATGTGGGATGGCTGATCGGGTTTGCTGGGAGCAGGGAGCACTTGTGTCTTGTCCCTGTCGATGGCAGGATAGGACAAAGGGGAAACGCTTTAAGATGAAGGATGGGAGGTTTAGATTTGATATTACAGAGAAATTCTTCCCTGTAAGGGTGGTGAGTCCCTGGCTCAGGTTTTCCAGAGGAGCTGTGGGTGCTCTGGGTGGTGCTCTGGTGATGTTCTCAGCTGGCAGGAGTGGCTCTTGAGCTGCCTGGGAGATGTTCATTGCTCCAGCAGTGGAGAAATCAACTTCTCATGGGGTTTGGGAGCCACCAAGGGGCCTCAGTGCCGTTTTTAGAGCCCCATTTGGCCAGACACGGAGGCAGTGGGAGGAATCCTCTGGGAGTGGGAGTGATGTTCTGCCCCTCGTGCAGCCCCTTGCTGTGGTACTTCACACCCTCACACCAGTCACTGCCACTGCCCCATCTTCACTGGGACAGCCTCAAGGTGCCTGGAATGACTGATCCACAGCTCGTAGAAGAGACATATTTACTCAATAAATAAATACAAATAACATACGGCAGGTACTAGCACAAAATACACACTATTGGTGTTGTGAGGGACGCCAAGGTCTGGGGCTGGAGCTTTGCCTAGCTCAGCTTAGCCTGCCCAGCTGGCACTTACCAGGCTGGCCCTGGATAACGGCACTGATGGTGCAATCTGGAACTGCTCGAGGGCATGGCAGAAGCTACACACCTGGATGGACAAATACATTAACACACAGCAGCAGGGAGGCTTTGCCTTGGGATGCCTGGGGACACAAAATGTGAGCTTCTTGGGGAACCTCGGGCACATCTCTGGGTGCCTGCCCAGGGCAGGCCCTGGGAGCTGCAGCAGGGTCATGGCACACATGGCACAGAGCTGAGGGTCATGGCACACATGGCACACAGAGCTGAGGGTCATGGCACACATGGCACATACAGCTGAGGGTCATGGCACACATGGCACACAGAGCTGAGGGTCATGGCACACATGGCACAGGACTGAGGGTCATGACACACATGGCACATACAGCTGAGGGTCATGGCACACATGGGCACAGCTGAGGGTTGTGGCACACAGAGCTGAGGGTCATGGCACACATGGCACACACAGCTGAGGGTCATGGCACACATGGCACAGAGCTGAGGGCAGGGGGAGATGGAACCCCATGGACCTCAGGAGGGTGCCAGGACTCATCCCCTCATCTCTGCAAAGCTTGGTGCAGAGCACAGGGCTCTGCTCTGGCAGATTTGGCAAAGCCTTGACCGAAAGCTGGGAGCTCTGCTGAGCTCCAGGAGGCAGCAGCAGCTGGGTTTGGGGTTTGGGGTCGTCCCTGAGCTCCAGGGTGGGTGTCAGTCGGCAGAGACGGGCAGGGGCAGGAAGAGGATCGCCTTCTGGCCGTAGTGAGTCCGCGGGCCCAGCTTGCTGTTCCCGTTCTTCTTCAGCCCCACAAACCAGTTCTTGTCCGCGTGCATTTTGGAGACGTAGGTGTTGTAATGGTTCTCCTCCAGCCTTTCCAGGAACAGACACTCCTCACCCAGCAACTGCTGCAAGAGAGCCCCGGGAAGGACAGTGAGCTGGGGATGCTCCCGCTGTGACAATCCCAGCCCAGCTCTCCCCTCTGAGATGCCATCCAGACCCGCCCCTGACATTTCCACACCCCAGTAAAGCTCTTATTTAAACTGTGGGGTAGGTGGCCTTGATTTACTCCCCTGGGCCACTCCTGTAGCAAGGTATCTGTGACCTGGGAATTTTAATTGGCACTTTAAATCAGCCCCGTGCTCCATAAACTGCTCCTGGCCCTGGCTCCTGCTCTGGCCCTGAGCACTGTGGTGGCAGCTGCAGGCTCAGAGTGCAGAACCAGAACAGTTTGGGTTGGAAGGGACCTTAAAGACCACTGAGCTCCGGCCCTTTGCCATGGGCAGGGACACCTACACTGGGTGGCAGCTGCTGCTCCAGGTATGAAACACAATATTTATCAAGTGTCAGATAGGAAATACAATATTTGTCAGAAGCAGGGCAGTAAACAGCATTATTTGCTAATTCATTTATGTCCCCCCAAAATAAAGCCAGATGCAGAGTGGCCGTGCAGCTGCCGGGATCACAAGCAGAGCCCAGCTATTGCCCAGCTGTGGTTTGCACTGCCCAGCTGTGAGATGCCTGCAGCCCTGCCCCTGGCTGCATTTTCCCAGGGGATCCCACACCTACCGAGCCGTAGAGCAGCCCGTTGGGGTCCATGGCCAGGTACTGCCCCGACTGGGTGCCCCTGATGTGCACCACCCCCACGCTCTCTGCACTCAGCTGCAGCTGGACTGGAGCAAAACAAAACAGCAGTGAGAGGAAAATAGGGAAAGGGGGGGAAAAACTGCCAGGAAGTTTAGCGGGGTGTTTTGTTGAAGTCTGGCTTATAAAGAGTTTATAGGAAACAGTAGAGTGTGTAATAAAAGCGTCTCCTTGTACCCTCTTCTTCAAAGAAATCCCACAGCCATCCTTTAGGAACCAAAGACCAATTTTTCCCCTTATTTTACATCAAAGGAAGGACAGCCTTTTGGTTACGATGCTGGAATGGGACACAAGAGATTGGGGTTTTAATTCTGGCTCTAATTTACAAATTTCTCATGTGGTTTGACAAGACACTTAAGGAGTGACATATGAAGGAGTATTTTGAGAGCTAAGCCAGGGATGGGCAGACTGCAATCCCCTGATCCAAAGCATCCCACCCAGCTGTCTGCTGCAGCTGGATTTATCCAGAGCATTGGAGATGGAGAATGGGGAAATGGAAAAGGTTGTGGCTGCAGACACAGTGACTTGCAAATTCCAGCTCTTCCCATCTCCTAGGCAGCTTCTTTCCCTGAGATTTATAACAGCGATATTTAGGTTGGTTGGAATGAAGTATGAACGGATGTCTCGGCTCCAGCTCCTTCCTTCCTGTTTATATTTAATTTGTTTATCCTTATTTAGATGAGGTAAGAGGCAGTGTTACCTCTTGGCCTGGTGGAACACCCATTGCAGTGAAATCTTTGATGTAATGGTTCACATCCTTCATGTTTGGCATTTCCTGCTCAGTAAATGACATTAATTAGGACGCAGTGTGGGTGCAGGTTTGCAGGAGTGCTTGGCCCCTGTCATGCCTGGTTCAGGCTGGGGATGTGCACTGGGAAAACCCCAGCCCACCTGCATCCCCTGAGGGGCTGCAGACCTGGGACCCGGCCCAGGAGCAGTCCAGGGAGAAAGGGGGGAAATGGGATGGAAATGGTGACACTGCTCTAAAAACTGTCCTGAGAGAGGGGAGTGAGGACCCTCCTGCTGCCAATGGGATGCTGAGGTTTTTTGCCACAGAGGGAGGGAGAACAGCAGGTCCAGAGGAAGGAGCTTGTGCATTCATTCTTTCAGGTTCTCTTCCAGGTCTGTACAGAGATTTCCTTCCATGAAGAAATGGGATGAAAGCAGGAAAAGGAGAGTTTTTGTCGAGATGAGCGTGAGCTTCATCCTGAGAATCTGCAGAGTCCTGGTAAGATTTCTTTCTATTGGTGCAAGCTTGGAATGCCCGTAACAAGGACGTGGGAAGTGGATCCTGATGTGGGGCTGGACAACAAAGGTTTAGAGAGAGTGAATCCTTCTCTCTTCTTAGAGATCCTCCTGATTCTGAGGCCATTTGAGAGAAAAATAAGAATCCTTGGTATTTGCCTGGAACAAAATGCACGTGGACAGCTTGCAGAGCATTGGTGCAGCTGGAACGCTGCTGTCCCCTCTGGCCTCCCAATGAACCCTGGGTGTTCCTGTGCCTTGTCCCTCCTGGGGCTGGCAGGTGCTGTCCCAGCTGGGTGACAATGTCCCACAGTGCCAGCCTTGGTCTGGGCTGCTCCCTCGCACACCAGGGAATGATCTGAGCAGCTCCATCGTGTTCCAGGTGCAGGGACAGGACCGCGGTGCTCAGAGCAGGGTCCCTCTCCCCAGGGCTGCTCTGCTGGCACTCAGCCCTTCCAGGAGTTTCCTCTGTAAATATTAGTGTGTTCCCATATCCCAGTTTGTGAGATCATTTACAGGAGGTTCCTTTCTGGCAGAGGATCGCAAACGTGTGGCCTGGGCCAGCAGCAGGGAGGTGTGAGGTGCTGGGACACAGAGCTGCCTGCCCTCCCTGCCCTCGGGCACAGGGCAGCCCTGGGCACCTCTCCAGGGTGATGGATCTGCTTTTCCAGAGGGAAAAGGGCTGGGCTGTGTGACAGCATCCATGCTGTGAGACAGCAGCCTGGGCCAGGGCACCAGAGTGGGCTCATGGCCTTGGTGGCTCCCCGTGTCCCAGGAGATCCCATCTTGACCCTGACCTCTCCTGACTCCAGCAAAACCTCTGGAAAATGCTGCAGAGACACTGCCTGAGCTCATACCACCTCTCCTGGTGTGTCTGTGAGCCCAGTCCTGTCTCTTGCAGATCTTTGGGATCATCCAGCCTTTCCAGAGGTTTGAGGGTTATTGCTGGGTTTATTCCTGCCTGGAGGCTGGAGCTGCACGCTGTGTTTATCCAGCCTCAGGGAGCTCATCTTCATCCATTCCCCAGCACTGCCTCGTGCTGGGGAGACAGTGTTTGTAATTAAAACTGGCTCTAAACTGCCTGTCAGTAACACAACAATAGCCAGAGGAAAGGTTACGTTTGGGGGAGAAGCCACATGTGTGCTTGTGGTTTAAAGAAAATAAAAGTGCTTTTCTTAGCACTTTGTAAGGCTGGCTTGGCTCCTCCCAGCCCTTCCTTCCAACGAGATAGGAGCCTGGCAGGGCCTGGTGCCATTCCAGTAAATGTTCAGGATATGAACCCAGAGGCAGCTGCCAAGAGCAGAGCCCAGCCCTGCTGCCCACAGAGCCCTGCAGGAGCTTTGCTGTGTGCCCAGCAGGTTAAAAAATCCTCTGAAGAGTTTTTGGTGATGCAAGAGCACAAACAGCTTTAAATTCCCAATGATTCCTTGGTGGGACAAGCGCTGGTATCTGCAGGAACATCTCCTCCCAGCAGGGGTGCCAGTGTCCCACCACGGGCTGGAGCCACCAGGGTCACTGCCTGCAGGGGTGGGGACAGCTGAGGGGACACCCTGCCCAGGGTGACAGAGTGAAGGGCTCTGGCACAGGGCTGGCAATGCAGGGACAGCACAGAACTCCATGTGATGCTGTGTGTGTGGGATGCCAGGCTGCCCTGAGCCCCCCTGCCTGGGCAGCTCCCCGTGTGAGCCAGCCCTGTGTGTCCCTGTGTCTGTCTGTCTGTCTGTCTGTCTGCCTGCCTCTGTGAGGGGAAGCCAGTGCCAGGTTCAACACTGGAGATATCTATTGCTGTCCTCCAAATCTGCACTTGGACAGCACACACCTCACACCTCCCCTGCTCTGGATCCCAGCTGTGGGTGTGTTTGGCCCCTGGGATGTGTGTTTGGCTTCCAGGAGATGTGTTTGTCCCTTGGGATGTGTGTTTGGCTTCCAGAAGGTGTGTTTGTCTCCTGTGAGGTGTGTTTGGCCTCTGGGATGTGTGTTTGGCCTCTGGGATGTGTGTTTGTCCCCCTTGGAGGTGTGTTTGTCCCCTTGGATGTGTGTTTGTCCCCCGGAGGTGTGTTTGGCCCTTGGGATATGTGTTCAGTCCCTGGAAGATGCGCTGTCACACCAGCCTCATCCAGACCCCGTTTTCCCCAGCTGCCCGTCCCCAGCTGATGAAACCCCAGCACCAGGAGCCCCCCGAGCCCCCCGGTTTGCTCACTGTGCTCGTCGCTGCGGTCCCGGGTGCCATCCACGGTGCCGTCGGGCAGGATGCGCAGGAAGTGCCCCCCGTTGCTGCAGTACAGCAGCTTGGGCTTCTTGTAGCTGCCCGCGGGCAGGTCGAACTTCTCGGTCAGGGCGCTGAACGTGGTGATCTCCCCCTCGGCCATCGCGCAGCCTCCTCCTCCCGGGGCTGGCTGCAAGGGAGGGGACAGCAGGTGACACCGAGCGCTGGCACAGGGGTGACACCGAGCGCTGGCACAGGGGTGACACTGAGCGCTGGCACACGCTGCTGCTCCTGGCTGCAAGGGAGGGGACAGCAGGTGACACCAGTGCTGGCACACTCTGCTGCTGCTGCTGCTGGGCTGCAAGGGAGGTGACAGCGGAGGTGACAGCGAATGCTGGCACAGGGGTGACACCGAGTGCTGGCACACGTTGCTGCTGCTGCCCAGCTTTAAAGGCAGCAGGGAGGGAAGGAGGAGGGATCCCGGGGGTCCCGTTGGTGATTCACAGCCCAGGGGATGCTCCCCAGCGTGGGAGGTGTGGGGGGCTGTCTCCTTGCCGGGTGGGGCTTGGCAGGAGGGGTTCTGGCCTCTTTAATTTGATCACGGTGAGTTCTGTTTTTGTTCTCCTCTCTATTGACGTGCAGGCTAAAATTACACGCTCAGAAAAGCAGTTTGGAAAACAGCCGGTGTCTGATTGGAACCCGCAGGAGGCGGGAAGGGAGCCCAGGTAAAACTCTCTCTGCACTATTATAACTCTCAAACACAATTATGACCAGGAATTGCAACACCCACTGTGTGTCAGGTGTAAATATTGCTCATCCCTTGGCACTCTGCAGCTCACCTGCCCAGGACGCAGATGGAAAAGGTCAGGACACACAGAGAGATGTGTGTTAGCTGTGGTGGGAGATGGGCAGGAGCTTTCACTGCCAGGCTGAGCAGATTTACCCAGACACTGATCAACAGCATTTGGAAATGGGAATTTTGAGTCCAGGATATGCCATGAGTCAAGCAGCAGCATGTCAGTGCCTGAAGGGGCTCTGAGAGAGCTGGAGAGGGCTTTGGACAAGGATCTGAGGGACAGGATAAGGGAGAATTCCGCTGCCAGAGGGCAGGGTTAGATTTTGGGAATTTGGGAAGAAATCCTTCCCTGTGAGGGTGGGGAAGCCCTTGGCAGTGCCCAAGGCCAGGCTGGACACTGGGGCTTGGAGCAAGCTGTGCTAATGAAGGATCATACTGAAACCTCATTTTGCTGGAGGCTGTGGTCTCAATCCGTGTTTAAGCAGATGCTGTGCCAAAACCTGAAGGCATCTCCAGACCAATCAAAGAAGGATGCTGTGGAGGTTGGAGGCTGGGAAGTGAGAAATGCTGTCACAGAAGTGCCCTCACAGATGTGGCATCAGGAGATGCCACAGATGGGGCCAGAGTCCCACGGATATTCCAGGTACAGTCATGTTTTCAGCCTAGAAACTACATTTAAAATCTCCCACAGATTCATTCTGTCTTTCATACACAGAGTTCTGTAGTGCTTGGAGAGCAGTGGATTTATGAACAGAAAAAGACAAGGCACAGAATAAATCTAGATGCAGGAAGTTTCTTTAAATGTCATGCATTCCCACAGCTATATTATGGAAAATATTTTATAGTCACTGTTTGTATGTGTTTATAGATTGTAAAAATGTCTCTCTAGGACTGAGTTGTGCTACTGGGATGGAGCCAGTACCACACTGTGTGGGTTTGCTGTGGTGCTTGGAGTGCCCTGGGAGAGACTGAGGGTGGCAGCTCTGCAGCACACACACTCACACACATGTACACACACAGACAATCTCTAAACACTCAGCTCTAAACTCCTCAGTATTTAAAAAGCTCTGCAAGAGCAGCTGCAAAAAGAGGAAATTACTCCTGGAAATGGATCCCAGATGCCTGCAGAGAATAAAAGCCTCTGGAAGCTGGATTGCTAAGGATGAATCCCTGGAGATGAAGAGTGTGGCTGTTGGTGAGAGCACCCCCAGCCTCTGCACCAGCTCTGCTTTGTGCACAGACTCCAGGCTCTCAGAGCCCCCATTTGACACAGACTGGGGTTTTGGGAAGTGCTGTCTGGAGTGGCAGCCCCCAGCCCCACCTATTGCCATGAGACTGGAGATGCAGCCTCAGAAGCTCTGTGGCTCCTGGAGGTGTCCAGAGCAGGTGATGCCAAATGTAAAATCTTTGTTTAACACTATTGTCAGGTGAAATTTTTTCATAGAGTGTCTGGTCCCTACATTCATTTTTCTCTCAAGACACCATAGAGCAGCAGCTCAGCTTCCTTGCCAGCTGCCAGCCTCTCACTGAAGGAAAGCCTCCAATCACCCAGGGTGGCACAGGGGGCTCTGCTCCTCCACTGAGCTTTAATCCACATCATCATTGGGTCATTTCCTAGAACCAGGAAAAGGTTCTTGAACCTTTATCTGAGGGTAAAAGGCACCCAGAGGTCTCCTGGGTTGATGATGGGTGGCACTGAGAAGCAAACACCCCAGATCCAAGGGCTCTGAGCAGGATCTCAGCAAACTCCGCAGGCAGGAGTGAGAGCAGCCTGGATTCTACCACAGCCACCTCAAGGGCTGAGGGCATCTCCAGACAGCCTGACCAGAGCAGCTCAACTGCAAACAGCTTCTTCATCATCACTGATTTCCTCTAAGGTTATTTTTGCTATTTTTAGGAAGACCCCAGTGCTTGCCAGCTGCCCTGAGTGCCCCAGCAAAGCTCATGAACACTTTTCCACTCCCCTTGTCTCCCCGTGCTAAATACTATTGCTGTTCTCAGACTTTATGGCCATGGAGTTGTTCCTCTACAAACACCACCACTCATGGCCCTAGCATTATACTTCTGGCAGGAACATGTTAGGTTTTTATGGGAATTAAAAAGCTCGAGTGAGGGAGAGAGCCTGAACCAAAGACAACATAAAGGGCCTTATTTCTTTGGGTAGGAGCCCAACAGTGCTATTAAACAGCTCAAAGCAGAACAGAAAGCTGTTCAAATATGCAAGGCTGAGAGACACCACACTGCAGTGGTTACTGGGTGCCCCATGGAGAAAGGAAAACATTCCAAGAGGAGATGGCTGTGAGGGCATGGCTGCTGCTGAGCTCTGACTCCCTGCTCACACCAGGACTGGATCTGGAGCAGCTGTGGTTGTGGCTCCTCTCTCCTCCAGCTCTGTGCACAGAGAAATCCCAGAGGAGGATCCCTGGGGGCTGCAGCCAGGATAGCCCTGCTCCAGGACAGCCCCAGGACAGCCCCAGCTCCATCTGCAGCATGGGGAGCTGAAGGCACCCAGCTCTTCCTCCTGGATGGAGGTGTCAGCACCCCAAAGGACCAGAAATAATTTCTGAAGGTAAAAAAACCCATTTGATCCAGGTCGTGCTGAGCCCTGGTGGCTGCGCTGTGCTGCTCCCTGCAGCTCTGAGGGAGAGGAGCCCAGGGCAGGGCTGCAATAGCTGTGAAATTCTGAGAAGTTTGGGGTCGGCTCCAAACTTTATCACTGGCCAAACCAGCGGCTCTGATGTGAAATCCCAAACTCTGCGAGCATCTGACTGAGCACGGAGGGCTGGTTGTGCTGCCAATGTCAGGCTGCGAGCTCTGCAATAGCAGCACACACTGGGAGCCATGGAGGGAACCTCTGCTCTCTGCCCTAGAGCTGTGCAGACTTCACCCCACAGCACTTGTTTGCATGACAGAGGTGGTGTTGGTGGAAATGAGGGGGATTCCTAAGGGTCCAAAAGGTTTTTGCAGAATTACCAGGAATTTTTCTGGCTTTTTTTTTTCCTATGGCTCCTGTGGCACAGATTTAGTGACCAGCAAAGACGCACCCCAAAGGTAGCCAGTTGAGGTGAGCCTTCTTGCCTTGGGTATGAAATACCTGGCTACTACATGGAGGAAAGCAGAAGTTTCTCACCTACTGGGTTAAAACGAGATTGGATTGATTCAAATGCATCAATATTTTCCTTGGCTTTGGACACAATCTTTTATGTAGGTTTGGCAAGAAATGTTCTGCATGGCCTCTGATGGAAATGGTGATGAAAAGTGCAGCTAATCACAATTGTCATTTAGATGATCAACGAGAGATCACACAGAGAGCTCCAGAGAGATGAGAAGCTGCTAAACCCAGGAGTGTCCTGAGGCTTTGTCCAGCTCTGGGTAATGAGATCAGTGTCTCGTGAACCTGGCTCTGGGGAGTTCAGTGGAAACACTCCAGTTGCTTTCACTTTGGAAAGTGTTATTTTCTCCATTAAAGCAGAAATGCAGTTTGTTCCAGGACGTGTGACTCAGCTGGGATCAGACAGCATCACCTCCTGATGGGCTCCCTGCCCATTCCCACTGTGACTGTCACCTCCCAGGCAGCTCACACACTCCATGTGGAATGGAAAGCATTTAGAACAGGTGGAATATTTTTAAGGAATTCAGGCTCTGAATTGCCTTTCCCAGGGGTTCCTGTGGTTCTTGGGGCAGTCTGAGATCTACCTGGGCTTGTGGAACAAACACCTCTCAGACGAACAGGGATTTTATTCATACCAAGATTTAGAGAACCATTTCATGGGATGGATTTCCTCATCCAGGGGAGGATTAGACACAGGCAGAGGTTTCCTCATGCTGCAGAAGCAGCTTGGTGGGTCTGGGTTATCAGCATGGGCAGCCTGCAGGGGCTGCCTCCCCTCCCGAGGCTGGCAGTGCAAGGCAGAGCTCGAATTCCTTGGCCTGTACATTCTCTGAGAAAGATTAATAAATGATTAGGCAAAGCATATGATAAATATGTAATAGATCACTCTGTGACTATCAGTGGAATGCACTGGCTCGTTTCTAGGCTTGTTTATGGCCAGGTGATTTTATCTCTAGTGATGTGATTAACTGCTTAATGAAGTATTTATCAGCCAGGTTTTAGCCTTTGCAAGTGGAATATGTTGTGTGAAGTGCAACCAAAAGCATAAAAATCAATTTAACTAATGCCAGCTGTCATCATCTGCTGCTCTCCACCAGAAAACAGCCATCCCACCCAGTCTCACTGGATTTGTGGCAGGTGGAACAGAGGGGCTGTAAAGCTGAAACTTCAGCAGTTTCCTGCTGAATGACCAACACAGCAGCATCAGAGAGGGACAGGGTAATCCCAGCCCTGTGCCCTCAGGGATGCCCAAGGGGAGCCCCATCCCTGCCCCAAGCCAGGTGTGGCTTTTCCAGAGCTCTGAGCCCGGGACAGCCCAGCTGCTGGGACAGCCAGGGCAGCCTCCCACCAGGCTGTGCTGTCCGTGGGGAGGCAGGAAAACCAAGGCATCCTCCCCTTCCTAATTACCTCCCCTTTCTAATTACCTCCCACCCACGGCCCTCGGCCATCCGGTGATTAACTTAATTGCAGCTCCAGCCCCAGGAGCAAATGCAGCCCCAGAGCAGGAGCTGTGCCAGGAGGGCCTTGTCCCTGTGTCCTGTCTGGGCTCAGAGCAGGAGCAGGGACACGAGCAGGAGCAGCCCTGGCTGCACACACAGACCCACGGATCCCATTGGACCTGTCCTGAATTGGAGCCCTCCCTCCCCGAGCCAGCCAGGTGTGTGGATGGAAGAGCACCTGGACACTGGGTGTGTGGGACCTGCTGGATGGGGACAACACCTGGACACTGGGTGTGTGGGACCTGCTGGGTGGGGACAACACCTGGACACTGGGTGTGTGGGACCTTCTACATGGGGAGAACACCTGGACAGGGAATCACCAAAGCCCAGTCCCTACAGCTGAAGATGTGCACACCCAGGGGACACCTCTGGCAACGCAAGCACCCCGGGCTTCCCCTTCCCTCCAGGATGCAGCAGGTCCTGTCTGCCCTTTCCAGGTGCCCTTTCCCTCTCCCAGCCTTGCGCCAAGGTCAGTGCCAAGCCTGGTCCCTGCTCCTGTGCTCTGCTGCCTCCCAGCACGTGGGGCTGGCTGGAGCAGCCACTGACAGGTGCCACGAGTGACACCAGTCTCATCCCTGTCACCGAGGAGGAGGAGGGCAGCTCTGTGCTGCTGAGGACTCAGGGACGATGCAGCAGGCACAGGACCCTTGTTTGGGGTTTGCCACCTCGGGTATGGGCAGGGCTGTGGGCACCTCTCCTGCCTGGACCTGCCTGTGCCTGGCTTCCCAGTGACCTGTCCCCTGTCCCCATGCAGTGACACTGCAGTGACCTCTCCCCGTCCCCGTGCAGTGACACTGCACTGACCTCTCCATTGTCCCCGTGCAGTGACACTGCAGTGACCTCTCCCTGTCCCCATGCAGTGACACTGCACTGACCTCTCCTCTGTCCCCGTGCAGTGACACTGCACTGACCTCTCCATTGTCCCCGTGCAGTGACACTGCAGTGACCTCTCCCTGTCCCCGTGCAGTGACACTGCAGTGACCTCTCCCCGTCCCCGTGCAGTGACACTGCAGTGACCTCTCCTCTGTCCCCGTGCAGTGACACTGCACTGACCTCTCCATTGTCCCCATGCAGTTACACTGCACTGACCTCTCCCTGTTCCCGTGCAGTGACACTGCAGTGACCTGTCCCCTGTCCCCATGCAGTGACACTGCACTGACCTCTCCCTGTCCCCATGCAGTGACACTGCAGTGACCTGTCCCCTGTCCCCATGCAGTGACACTGCACTGACCTCTCCCTGTCCCCATGCAGTGACACTGCAGTGACCTGTCCCCTGTCCCCATGCAGTGACACTGCACTGACCTCTCCCCTGTCCCCGTGCAGTGACACTGCAGTGACCTCTCCCTGTCCCCATGCAGTGACACTGCAGTGACCTGTCCCCTGTCCCCATGCAGTGACACTGCACTGACCTCTCCATTGTCCCCATGCAGTGACACTGCACTGACCTCTCCCCTGTCCCCGTGCAGTGACACTGCAGTGACCTGTCCCCTGTCCCCATGCAGTGACACTGCACTGACCTCTCCTCTGTCCCCGTGCAGTGACACTGCAGTGACCTGTCCCCTGTCCCTGTGCCACCCCCGCTGTCCATGCAGGGCACAGAGCCAGGCCACAGAGCCCACTGTGGCTGTCTGGGCTGGCGCTGCAGGTGTGGCTGCCCCGCACACCCACGGACAGACGGACGGACAGACGGACGGCGCCGAATGACAAACTGCAGCCCAGGAGTTCCCTCTGCGCTGCGAATGCCAGCAGTGGCCTGGCTCTCCTGCTGCACCATGTCCCCTGTGAGCCCTGCAGTGCCACCCCTCTGCTGAGCCCTGCTCAGGTACGTGTCTGTGTCCGTCCCTCTGTCCTGGCCACCCTCAGGGCCCAGCCCCTCCCAGGCTGCTGCTGCTGCTCAGGGAGTGAAAACCAGGAATGCTCACACGCTGTCAGGCTGCCCTTCCTGCAGCTGCCCCTCTGAAGGGTGGCCAGGCCCAGCCGAGGGTTGGCCCCAGCTTCAAACTGGGATTTGAGTTTGGGCTCAGCCTTTGTACCCCGTCCTTCCCCAGGGAGGCAGAGGATGCTGGAATCGAGGGTTTCATCCCCAGGCCAAGTGAAAGCCCACATCCATCCTGGTGGTTAACCATCAGCAGACACAGCATCGCTCAGAAATCCAACTTCCTCCAGCACAGCCTTGCTCTGGGTGTTCCAGGGAAAATCACTGGGGTTTCTGGGCTCACCAGAGGCTCAGCAGCGATTTACCATGGAAATGTGCAGGCAGTTAATGGTGTTCATCCTGCAATGTTTGTGTAAGGGCTGTACAGCTGCTCTTTGTAACATCTAAGTAAGCCTGGCTGGAAGAATCCTGTTCTTAATTCTGTTGCCCAATGTCTCATTTTAAATTCAGTCTCTAGTACCCCTGAGTTTCTTCCTCCAAGCTGCCTGAGTAAGGAGCTTAGGCTGTTGCTCAATAACAGTGTGATAAAAGCTTGAGTTAATAATGGCTATTACCAGGAAATTCCTCCAATAAATAATAATTTTCTTATCTGCATGACTTTGGGACTGGAGAAAACTCTTTCCAGTGAAAAGCTGCAGCACGTAGGAGTGGGCAAGGAGTGTTTCAGATGAAAGATCAGAGCAAGGCAAGCTCAGGGCTGAATCTTGTTAAATGGAGATGAGTGGGTCAGCAAAAAAACTGGAATTAGTGTGGCTGAGTAGTCACTGGGGTAAACTACGGAGAGCAGCTGTGCATCTCCACCTCTTGTGGTCTGAGGAGGCAGACAGGTCACTGCTCTGTTTGTGTTCTTCAGGCACAAATGGGGGAATTCTCACTGGTGGCAGTGGGTGGCC